TCACAAGAGAAAAATGATGCATTGAATCTAGTTTTCACAACAGGGTCATTTGCAACTACTGAATTAATGTGCAACTGGAAAACTGTTCAGCATAAAATGTCTGTGTTGCTCAGGCAACCTCTGTAAAGCACTAACTCAGTAAACAGCAAATATTAATATATGCTCGGAGAATGATTTGCTCCTTCCTACCTTACCTAGCAGTGTATGTGTCCTTACAAAAGAAAGTTTCCAACTTTGACATGAATGACCTGAAATAAATAAAGCCCTAAAAATTTATTTTTCTGATCTATGATTTCTTTTTATGCCTTTAATTTGTCTGAAATATACATTTGCATAATCACATTATATTGCCAGTGGGACTTCTCAGCAGTGGCATTCACATAATTCATAAAATCAAGTTTGTATATAATCTTACGGGGGAGAGAAATACCCTTCGTCAAAGGGTCCTAGATTAAACTGTGGGAAAAAAAAAAAAAACCCTACTACAATAATGTGAAGCATCTGATTTCTGTCCATAGATGCCAAGAAATTCAGTTTAAGTAAACTAATTTTCTTTTTATTATACCAAAGAAAAAATTTTCAAGTCTCCTGAATGTATAGATCTCTGCAGTGTCTTAGATTAACTTTATCATGGGCACAGTAAAAATAGAGCTCTAGATTTATTTTCTCCTATTCTTTTCTGTAATTAAATCAGGATCCATAGACCAGGTTTCTGAGCAAGCATAAAGGTATTTTGTGCATAGAATTACCATTCCGTTTCGAAAATGTCCATAGAGAGAATAAGAGTGTAGGATACAGATAGAATAAAACTCAAGAAACATTTGAGAGCTCCTCATTTGACTTTTTTAAAAATAGAAAACACTTTGAAGTAAATAATGTAGATGTTATCTGCATGACTATGCAGATAACAAGCTCAGAACTGAATACAAATCTCATATAGTTCAGTACTTTGGTGGAATATTTATAAATATAGTAGCAATGCCTTTTCTTATGATTCTTTAAGAAACTGCAGTTACTGAGCCACATTTCTTCTAAGTTAGAAGAAAAGCAGTTTCCTAATACATCTGAAAAGAATATTATGTTGATTTCCTAGTTACTTGTTGAGTGACCTGAGTCCTGGGCTTTCCAAACTCCTATTAGATGATAGGTCATTTCCATGTAAAGTTCTTTGTTGTTGTGATTCACAGTATTTATAAATGCCCACATTTCTCTTTCGTAATGAATTAAACCACTGTGTTGAACAAGCATGCCTCATAACACGATCAAGGCATTACTGTATTTTAGTGTCCCGTGGCCTCTTTGAATGTGCTATTACACATTCAAATCATAAACACACAT